TGTCCTTTGGATAGATATCCAGGAGTGGAATTGTTGGATCATAGGGTAATTGTATTTGAAGGTCTTCGAGGAACCTCCATATTGTTCTCCACAGTGGCTGGGCCAATTTACAATCCCATCAACAGTGTAGTACTGTTCCCCTTTTACCGCATTCCCTTTAGAACTTATCTTTTTTTTTTTTTTCTTTTTAAACATTTGCCATTCTGGGGAACCAGTAGTTAGTATAATAGCTATGTCGCTGGACTCCCACATAGCTGACCGCGGTTCATGTTCCGGACCCGGTGGCTTAAAACTCACACCAGGTGAATGTGCATGTATGACCAAGATCCCGAGAGGAGAATGGAGAAGGGATTGTGGCATGACCATCCCCCCTGGGGGGTGATTTCTCGCTTTCTGTCTCTCTGTCTCTCTCTGTCTGTCTGGCGAGCACACGCACCCTGTAGTGAAAACCTCTCCAAAAAAAAAAAAAAAAAGAAAAAAAAAACATTTGCCATTCTGAGGTTAAGTGGTATTTCATTATAGTTTTGATCTACACCTCTCTTACGGTGAAGGATGTTGAACATATCTTCATATGCTTTTTGGTTGTTTATATTTCTTCCTTAGATTTTTTTTTTCAGCTCATTTTTGAAGGACCACAGTGATTCCATTTTGTTAAAGCCATCTTGGTGAGAATCGGTGCCATTTCAGGGAGATGAGATGATCACAAAGGAGAAGGTCATAAGACCATCACCCCACTGGGGCTGGCCAATGATAAGAAAAAGAGGGAATACCAGAGTCCTGAAGTAACTTTCTTGCCAATCAGTAAAAGACAATTATGTTTCTTGATGTCTACAGCCAACACGTAGCTGCCTGAGTACATTCATCAGCACCCTTCAAACTCCCCTACTAACAGCCAAATAAAAACGCAACCCAACTAACACCAGTGCTCTCAATTCTGACCCACTGTGCTGGTAAGATTGGGAATCCTGGCTTGAGCTTGAATAAAAGCGACCCTTGTGAGTTTACAGTGGAATTGGCTCCTTGGTGGTCTCTTGGGAATTTCATGACCAGGGTACAACAATTTTCCCATCTTTTAATTGGGTTAGTCTTTTTTTTTTTTTTCCCCAGGTAAGCAGCTTGAGTTCCCTGTGCATTCTAGTCATTGGTCCCTTAATTTCATGACTGGGGTACAACAATTTTCCCATCTTTTAATTGGGTTAATCTTTTTTATCCAGGTAAGCACATTGAGTTCCCTGTGTATTCTAGCTATCAGTCCCTTATCTGAGGCACAGTTTGCAAAAAACCACTCCCATTTTGAGGGCTGTTGATTCATACTAGTGACAGTGTCCTTTGCTATGCAGAAACTTCTTAATCTGATGTAATGCCACTTGTCTAGTTTGGGGATTATAGCCTGTGCTATGGGGGAGTCCTAATTAAGATGTCTTGGGCTACCCCAATGTCTCCCAGAGTTTCCCCAGTGTTTTCCACCAGTAGTTTGATAATTTGCAGTCTTATGTTTAGAGTTTTGGTCCACTTTGTGTTGATTTTTGTTATTGGTGACAGATAGGAGTTTAGATTCATCTTTCTGCAGGTGGATACCCAGTTTTTCCAGCACCATTTGCTAAAGAGGTTTTCATTTTCTCACTGGATTTACTGGTACACTTTGTCAAAGATGAATTGGCTGTGTGTTTTGGGGTTTATTTCTGAGATCTCCACTCTGTTCCATTGGTCCTCATGTCTGTTTTTGTGCTGATACCATGCTGTTTTGATTATCACAGCTTCGTAACATACTTTGAGGTCAGAAAGTGAGATGGCCCCTCCTCCACTCTCCTTGCACAGAATGACTTTGACAACATGAGGTCTTTTATGATTCCAGACAAAGTCTGTAATTGTCTTTTCAAGGTCTGTGAAAAATTTTTCTTGTACTTTTATAGGAATTAGATTAAATATGTAGATTAATTTGTGTAGGATGGTTCTATTAACTCTGCCAAACCAGGAATATGGGATATTGCCAGAGGCCTGCTCCAGCTGGGATGGTTGAGACTCACACACAGGAAGGTGACATGGCTGATCAGGAACAAAAATTAGAATGAGACCTCGATACTCTTTACCATATTCTCAGCTGGCTACAGCCAGAGCCCACTCCAGACTGCAGCGCAGTGGCTATTAAAACATACGTATTTATTGAGAGATGTTTTAGGAAGTAAGGGGGATGAGGGGAAGTAAAAATTTACTCTTAAGAGATAGGGTATACAAAGCATGAGAACAATAATTATAAAACATGCTGTTTGTCTTGTTAGATTAGATAAATTTAATCACAGTTCTCAGGATAAGGAATTACATTTGTCTAGTGCATTTTCTTCTTAGATATTGATTACTTAGATATTGATTGAAGAGGGGGCTTGCAGGAAGCTTGATAACTTCAGTCCTGGGCCAGGGTGGCAACATTGCTGGTTACAAAGGCCTAAATAGAAATATTGTCTCATTAAGTAAAGACACAGTTAATATATGGAATATCTATACTACAACTAAAGGGGTGAGCCTATTACCCATATGGGAAAGGAAGGTGATCTTATAGCTCAGGAAACAACACAGGATGTTTTATTAGCAGTTTTTCAAAGTTAACAGCACATAGATGAGAAACTCTTTGTAGTTAAGAACTATCTGTTGCTTTAGATAAGAGCTCCCAGCCAAGATAGTTCATCTTTCCCTGGAGCCTTCAGGTTTGTTCATCCTATCGTTGACAGTCAGGCTTTTCCTTTCTTTATAAACCCACGGATTCCTGTATTTTATTTGCTGAATCTGCCAATTAGTGAGATCTTTTGCTTTATCTTTGAGTCCCTGTCATGTGGTGGATGTGCTAACTTGGCCTAACATGAGTTAACTTTGGCCTGCAGCTTTAACAAGGGGTATTTACATAAAATTAGCCTTAAACTAACTTAGTCTACATATGCTACTAACACTAATTTGGCTTATACTAACTTAACCTAACATATGATAATTTTGGCTTAAAACAGGCAGGTGGGGGAGTCTGTCTCAGGTTCTCTCACCCTCGCACGTGCCATCTTAGGAAACTGCATTCCTACAGGATCACTAATTGGCTTTATTGTAAAGTTGCAGTAAGATTGGGAGTGTTTTTTTACCCTTGCAGGGTACCTTAATAACAGTAAAGCTCATGGCAGAGAAATTGAGTGCAGGCCAGTACAGTAATACAATGCAGGGCTCGTAAACTGTCGGCCTTTCCTTGCAGTTTCTTCCCAGTCCAGGCTTTGCCTTAGGCATGGGAGGCAGCCTCTTTACCAGCTTGTGCTGTCTGCATGGCCCCGTCAGGATATTCTTCCACTTTTTTGTGTCCATTTTGATTTCCTTTTTAAGATTTTCATAGTTTTCCTTATAGAGGTCTTTGTCTTCATTCATTAGTTTTATTCCTAAGTATCTTATACTTCTTGTGGCTATGGTAAGTGGGATTACTTTCTTCAGCTCTGTCTCTGTCTGTGTGTTGTTTGTACATAGAAATGCTATTTTTTTTTCTCTTTATCAGCATTTAATTTTTAAAATGCCTGTGGCAGAGTGGTAATACACTGCTCAAGAGTAAACAAGATCCCATATGACAACCAGTTTGGATCCCCAGCCCAGTCATCCTTAAACACACTGGGCACACATGTAGGTACCAAAGCTCCAATGGGCTGGAGGGCTAATGAAAGGGGACTATGACATAACTAGACCCTGTGGATGCTGCTCCTTTGTCTCACTCAGATGTGCACGCATACGTACTGCTCTATTAAGAATAAAGAGAAAAAATATGTTTTTAAAATGCTAGTTGTCCAACCTAAATGAAAAAGGTCTTCTCACTTTTACTAAGGTTGTATTTACTTCTGTCACAGAAGCTGATTCTGGGGTGGCCTGGGTAGTTTGAAAACTTCCTCTGAATATGAATCATTTATTTTTAATTTATAGCTTAGTAGTAAGCTTAATTTTTAAAACCAAGAATGCTTTCTTTCTTCCTGTAGAGCCAAGATTTTGGCTTTTAGCCAATCAAATTTACATGACCAACTATAGGTAGATAAAAAGAATGAAAGACAGTAAAGACATATTTATAATGCTTCTTAAAATCTTTTTAATTTTAATGTGAATATTTTCTTTAATGTCATGAATTCCATCAAATGAAACCATTTGGAATTGTTTTTACTATGTCATTGATCATTTCCACTATTATAAACAATTATATAGACATTATTTTGAACGTACCGTGAATAATTAACACAATTTTATTTAAGTTCGACAGTTGTGAATGTTGGCATTTTTAGAAATATATGGCATAGTTTATGGGAAGAACTTCTTACCCAAAAGTCTTTTTTATTTTTTTTTAATAAATAAATATAGGGTACATGCACTTACTGGAGACAGAGAGAGAAAAAGGGAAAATGAGGGAGTATCCCTCAGAAGGGATGGCCACACCACAATCCCTTCTCCACTCTTTTTTTTTTTTTCTTTTTTGGTGTTTTAATTTCCATGTTTATTTTTCCCAAATCTTTTTCTTTTCCTTTAAAATACTACATATACGTCTCAGAAATAATCTGGCATTTAACTCTTGTAGCTGAAGAACTCTTAGCTCTTCATCAACATGCTGAAATGTTTGGAGACATACATATCATCCTAAAATTTATAATATCCTTATTTTTAACTGCTGTGACTTGCTGAATCAAAACAACTGAAAGTGAAAAAAGTTCACTGCTATTCCCTTCAGGGATTAGTTCATTTTTAAATTATGATTGAAAGTCTTACAAGACTGTGTTACTAATTATTCACCCATATGGGTTCTCTGATGTACAATGAGTTCTGAAATCTGGTAGAAAGAGTTCCTTCATTTATTATGTTCATATTTATATTCTGAGTTTTCTTTTGCACTGTACTCTGTCACTTCTTGTAGATGTTTTCCTACATTGTCCACAGTTTCAGGGATTCTCTCCTGCCTGAGTTCTCTGGTGTGCTGTGAAGGCTGTCATGAATGTAGTTTATATTCACAGGGTTTCTCTTCTGTGTATTCTCTGGTGTACAGTGAGGGCTGACTTCTGGTAGAATGTTTTCCTACACTGTTCACACTCATAGGGTTTCTCTCCTGTGTGAGTTCTCTGATGCACAGTGAGGTGTGCCTTCTTGTAGAATGTTTTCCTACATTGTCCACATTCATATGGTTTCTCTCCTGTATGAGTTCTCTGATGTACAGTGAGGAGGTGTGACTTCTGGGAGAACATATTCCTACATAGTCCACATTCATATGGTTTCTCTGCTGTGTGAGTTCTCTGATGTACGGTGAGAGACGACTTCTGTGAGAACGTTTTCCCACATTGTTCACATTCATAGGGTTTTTCTCCCGTGTGAGTTCTTTGATGTACAGTGAGGACTACCTTGTGGGAAAATGTTTTCCTACATTCTTCACATTCGTAGGGTTTGTCTCCTGTGTGAATTCTCCAATGTGCAATGAGTATCGACTTCTGAGAAAATGTTTTCCTACATTGTTCACATTCATAGGGTTTCTCTCCTGTGTGAGTACGCTGATGTACAGTGAGGTCTGCTTTCTGGGAGAATGTTTTCCCACACTGTACACATTCATAGGGCTTTTCTCCTGTGTGAATTCTCCAATGTACAGTGAGTGCTGACTTCTGGGAAAAGGTTTTCCTACATTGTACACATTCATAGAGTTTCTCTCCTGGGTGAGTCCTCTGATGAACAGTGAGGTGTGACTTCTGGTAGAATATTTTCCTACATTGTTCACTTTCAGAAGGTTTCTCTCTTGTGTGAGTTTTACGATGTACAGTGAGGTCTGAATTCTGGAAGAACGTTTTCTTACATTGTTCACATCCATAGGGTTTCTCTCCTGCATAAGTCCTCAGATGATTAGTATAGTGTGAGTTCAGAGACAAGAATTTCCTATATTCTTTATATTCGGAGACTAGCAGACCTAACTGGAATTGGGGTGTGCGGAGGAGCCCTTGCTGGGGTGGTGGGGTGGGGGTGGAGTACTTCACAGCCCTGAAGATGAACCCAGAGGCACAAGGCAAAAATCTGCTTTTTATTTCTTATTTTTAAAAGACAGGAAAAAACTTAGAAGGTACAGTGCAGAATAAGAGAAAGAAACTTGTGAACCTTCCACTGGGGTCAGTGGGGAAGCCCTGGCTGGAGGAGTACTACATAGCGCTGAAGCTGAACACAGAGGCCAGAGCCATACAGGAATGGAGGACCCTGAGCATTTTTATCTAGGTGAAGAAGAGAGCAGTTAACCAGAGAAAGGGAAATATTAGGCAAAAAATCTATTTTGTGTTTGTTTTTTCAAATACAGAGAAAAGTTGGAAGGTACAGAGCCAAAGAACAAAATGACAATTGCATACCTGGCACTGAATTCTGTCGGGGAGCAAAGGCTGGGGGAGTACTATGCAGACTTGAAGCTGAAGCCAGAGGCCTGACACAGACAGAAGTGGAGGATCATGAGGGTTTCTATCTTTTGTGAAGGAAGAAGAGATTATTTAACTTGAGAAAAACACAAACAAGGCAAAAAAACCCTGACTTTTCTTTTGTTTAAAAGAGAAATAAAAAAGAAACAAGTTAGAAGTTACGATGACTGAATAGGATTCCATGGAGTATACGTGCCACACTTTACCAATTTATTTATCTATTTTTGTATGTTTGGATTATATGTATGTCTTAGCAATCATGAATAATGCTGGAATAAACGTAGATGTGCGAGCACTTTTCAACTGAGTATTCTCCTGTCCTTTGAGTGGAATTGCTGACTCACATGGTAGTTCTGTTTGTAGGTTTATGAGGAACCTCCAGATTGTTCTCCATAGTGGCTCTACCAATTTATATTCCCACCAACAGGGTGGGAGGGTTCCCCCTTCACCACATCACTGCCACCATGTATCATTCTTTTTTGGTTTTTTGTTTTCATCTTCACCATTTTGACCAGGGGTAGATGGAATCTTGTGGTTTTGATCTGCATCTCCCATATAATGAGGGTCATTGAGCATTTTTTTATATACTTTTTGGCTGCTCATATATCTTCCTTAGAGAGTTGTTTATTCAGGTCCTTTTTGTGCCTTTTAACTGGGTTATGCATTTTTTTTTCTGGGTTTTATTTTCCTGTGTTTTTGTGGTTATCAGTCCCTTATCTGGGACATAGTTGACAAAAATATTCTCGTATTTTTGTAGGGTTGCTTATTCACCCTAATTACCACATCCTTTGCTGTGCAGAAGCTTCTTAATCTGATGTAACTCCACTTGTTTTTTGGGGGGATTATTGCCTGGGCTTTGAGGAGGGTGATCTTACATAAGAAGTCTTTGCCGACCTCAGTGTCTCCCAGAGTTTCCCCAGTGTTTTCCACCAGTAGTTTGAGGTCTTAGATTTAGATTCTGATCCACTTAGAATTTACTTCTGTTTAATGGTGAGGGGTTCACATTCATCTTTCTGCATGTGGATGCCCAGTTTTTCCAGCACCAATTGCCAAAGAGGTTTTCCTTTTCCCCCCGGGATGACTGGTACCCTTTGTCAAAGATCATTAGCTGTATGTTTAGGGGTTTATTTCTAGGGTCTCTATTCTGTTCACTTATCTATATTTATACCAGTACCATGCTGTTTTGATTATCACAGCTTTGTGATACATTTGGGGTCCAGTGAGTGGGATGTCTTGTGGAGGATTGCTTTGGCAATATGTGATCTTTCCTGATTCTGCACAAATTCTATGATTGTCATTTCCAGATCTGTGAAGAAAGTCTATTTTACTTTGTAGGGGTTGCTTTAAATATGTAAATTAATTTGGGTAGAATTGTCCTTTTGATGATATTAATTCTGCCAATCCATGAACATGGCATGTCCTTCCACTTTTTTGTGTCATTTTCAATATCTCTTAAAAGATTTTCAGGTTTTTTTTTAATACAAGTTTTGGACTTCCTTGGTTAGATTTATTCCTAGGCATCATATATGTGTGTGTGTGTGTGTGTGTGTGTGTGTATGTGCGCTTACCAGAAAGACAGAGAGACAGAGAGACAGAAAGCGAGAAATCACTCCTCAGGGGGGTGGCCACGCCACAATCCCTTCTTTCTCATTCTCCTTTTGGGATTTTGGGCACACACGCACATGCGCCCAATGTGAGTTTAAGCTACTGGGTCCGGTACTCGAATTGTGGTCAACTACATGGGAGTCCAGCAACATAGACATTACGCTAACTGCGGGCCCCATATTTTTTGTGGTTATGGTAAATGAGATGACTTTCTTCAGTTCTGCTTGTTATTTGTATAGAGAAATGCTATAGGTTTAGTATGTTGATTGTATATGCCACCACATTAATGTATTCAATTTATACTTTCAGAAGTTATTGTGTGTGTGTGTGTGTGTGTGTGTGTGTGTGTGTGTGTGTGCACATGCATGCGCGTACCATTGAGTCTTGTATATATGCAGTCATGTCATCTGCAAACAGATCATTTCAAAAAAAAATTTCCCTATTGGAATATCTTAATTTTATTTTCTTGTCTAATTGCATTGACTAGAAACTCCAAAACTATATTAAAAAGGAGTGGATGGAGTGGGCAGCCTTTTCTTGTACCAGTTTTAAGTGGAAACGTTTTCAGCTTTTCCCTATTCATTATAATGCTAGTTATAGGTTTTTCATAGATGACTTTTATTATGCCAAAAATGATCCTTCTGTGCTTAATTTACCGAAAGTCTTAATCATGAAGGAAGGAATTTGTATTTTGTCAAATAATATTTCTGTACCTATTAAAATGAGCATATGGTTACTTCCTTTTGGAATTTTAGAAATAATTGAGTAGGGTTGAGACTACCCCTTCTTTAGTTTTGTAGAACTCAAAAGTGAAACCATCAGGACCTGGGTTTTCTCTGTTGGGAAGTTATTTATTACTGATTCAATCTCATTGCTTATTATGGGTCTACTCTGGTTTCCTATGTCCTCCTGAGTCCATCTCAGTAGGTTATCTGCATCCACAGCTTTGTTGTTTTTCCAATTCCTTGAGACGTGATGTTAGGTTGACCATTTGCTATCTTTCCATCTTTTTCTTATGTGCACTAATTGCTATGAACTTCCCTCTTAGAACTACTTTTATGGTGTCCCATAGATTATGTAAACTTGTGTACTCATTATCATTTGTTTCCATAAATCAGCTTTAATCTCTTAGGTAATCATGAAGTCATTCAGGAGCAGGTTATTTAGTTTTCGTGTATTTGGGTATTTTTGATGGTTTTTCCTGAAACTAATACCAAGCTTGATTCCATCATGGTTGGAGAAGCTTCTGAATATAATTCTTATGCATTTGAATCAGTAAATGCTGGTTTTCTGCCCTATCATATGATCAGTCTTTGAGAATGTTCCATATGGGGGGTGAGAAAAATGTATAGGTTGTGGGTTTTGGGTGGAAAGTTCTATAGATGTCTGTCAAGTCCATCTGATTTATGGAATCATTTAGATCCTGAATTGCTTTTATTTTTTTCTTGTTGATCTGTCTAAAGGAGATAACGGGGTGTCGGGGTGTTGAGTTTGCCATTAATTAGTGTGTTGCTGCCTAACTCGTCTTTTAGGTTTGCAGTCTTTCCTTGAAATATTTTGGTACTCCTGAATTGGCTGCATCGATAATTAAAATCATTGTATCTTTTTGATGAATGATTTCTTTCACTGTTTTTAATAGTAATATTTTTAATTTTCTGTCTCTTTTTACAGCTTTTAGCTTAAAGCCTATTTTGTCTTAAATCAGTATTGTGACACTCCCTCCCTTTCGGTTTCCGTTTTCATGGAATATCTTTTTCCAGCCCTTCGTGTTTGGTCTATGTATGTCTTTATCCATGAGATGGGCTTCTGGGCTTCTTTTAGGCAGCAAATTGAAGGTTTCTGCTTTTTGTTTGTGAGGGTATTTTTGTTCGTTTGTTTGTTTTATCCATTGAGTCACTCTGTTTCTTGATTGGATTATTTAAGCCATTTTTTTAAAGAATTATATTTTTATTTGATTTAACTAATTAGTTTATTTATTTTAATTTGACCAGAAGTGCGCACACACGGAGGGGGGCTGGTGGTGAGAAAGAAAGCCACCAGGTTCGGGACTCAAACCATGGTCAGCCATGTGGGTGTGTCCTGCACCTTAGCCACCATGCCACCTGCTGGTCCCTAAACCATTTACTTTTAACGTTATTATCAGTATTTCTGGACTTGTCCCTACTGTTAAGTTGGTAATATTCTTGATTGGTTTTTGTTCTCTTATTTTTGTCTTTATTTATTTATTTATTTAATTTTTTAAAATATTGCACTCCCTTCGGAACTTTTTGAAGAGCTGGCCTGGAGTTAACAAATTCTTTCAGGGTTTGTTTATCTAAGAATGTTTTAATCTTTTCTTCCCATATTAAGGACAGTCTTTCCAGGTATAGTAATCCTGTTTGAAATTGTTTTTCACTTAACACTTTGAATATATTTTTCCATTCTTTCCTTGCCTGCATTATATCCAATGAGAGGTCCAATGTTAGTCTGGTCGGACAAACTTTGTAAATAACTTGATATATTTCTCTTGCCAATGTTAGTATCTTGTCCTCATCTGTGGTTTTGGCTGATTTGACCATGACATACCATAGAGGGGATCTTCATGGGTTGAATCTATCTGGGGTTCTTTATATTCCTTGTGTCTGTATGCTTGAGTGTGTCTCTAGACTTGGACATTTTTCTTCTAGGATTTTGTGAAATAGATTATCAAAGCTTTTATTAGTTTCTTCACTTTCTGGGATATCAATTATTCAGATGTCCAGGCATTTAATGGTATCTAATATTTCTTGAGTATTGTCCTCATTTTTAGAGACATTTTTTTTTTCAGTCTTTCTGATGATTTTTCTCTAGGTGAGAGGTTTTTTTCTCCTACCTCCAAAATGTGATCTTCTGTATAATATAATCTGCTCTTAATATTTTAAAAGGTTTTGCTTTGCTGAATTGCACCTTCATTTCTACCAGCTCCATTTGATTCTTTTTTAATGTTCTAATTGTTCTTTTATGTATCATGGAAAAACCTCCTCATCTCCTGGAGTTCAATGTCTCTGTTCTCTTGCATCTCATAAAGTTTTGTCACCATAAATACCCTAATTCTTTTTCTGACATTTTGGTAATATGCTCTACTTTTTCCACACTTGGGGACAAATTACTGTGCTCTCTTATTGGAGAGGTATTATTTGCCTCTCTCTTCCTTGAGGCTCTTCTCTGTCGTTAAGTCATTTGGTAAATGTATTCATTTTTGACTGATTTGTGGGAGAAGGTTTTCATAACTGGGAGCTTATGTGTTTCTCCAATTGAGAAATAATTCTAAGCTAATTTCTTCCCTCTACTGTGTTTTACAATATGCTAACCACAGGAAAAGTTTTGAGATCAGATTAATGAAATACAGTTCCTGTCTTTTGGCAACAGTTTCAGTGGGGAATTGAGATTTCTCTGAGGCTCATAGTATTCAGATATTTATTTGACTACCATGCACCTAGACCCTTTTAGAAAATGGGTGAAGACTGAACAGCAAAACAAGACAGTAAGACAAGAGAAAAAGAGAAGTAAAACAGTAATAGAAACAAAAATGAAGGAAAAAAGAAAGGACAAAATAAAAAATAACAGAAGAAAGGAGAAAATGCTGCCCCCCAAAAATACGTAAGAAAAAATTTAAAATCAAAAACAAGCCCTAAGGGAAGCACAGGCCTGTGATAAAGATTCCTGGGAATACCCTACTGTGTGTGTACTGAAGAGAGAAGAGAAAAATTGGCAAGAGAAAGATGGGGTGGGGGTTATTTTTTTTTTCCATATTAGTTAGAAAAGACAGAA